TCCTGCCTCACCAATGCATGCTTAATCGCCTGGCTTCAGAGGGAAAATTAGTGCTGGCTCCGTGTGCTGTAGAAAAGAAAGACGAAAGAAGCAGTGCTGGGAATCCAAATGACTTTCTGACTGTGTGAAGAAACTGTTCCACACTAGTTAATTGCCACTTAGTACCTCTGTCTCTGCTACTGTGTGTTTCCCAGCCTCAGCAGCTTTTTGTCCTACAGTCAAGGGGACATGGAGACCCTGGGGAATAATCCCCAACTGACTCCCCATTTCCCCACCCTTCATTACCAAGGAGCAGCCACCTCCTGCAGGAAAAGGCTGCTGGCCTTTACACAGCCAGATGCAAGCATCCAAACGGGTAGAGTTTGCAGAGATACTCTCTTGGCCTGACCAGAAATGCCAGCTAGTTGCTCCCATACACTGCAGGACCAATTTATTAGTTCTCCAGTTTCAGGATTGCTGGCCAAGGTCCTGAAACATAGTCCTAGTTACAGGTATGACCCAGCCATCTTAAGTACATCAAATCTCCTCGCCTGAGCCGTTGCCCAGAGTGAATTATGGATTTCCTGATGGAACATGACAGGTGGCATTAACAGTGGGTGGGGGCTGAACATTTGCTGAGCCCCAAAGATTGTTGAAGGGCGCATCAACGCGCCACCATGTCACCTTCCGTACTATGATGCACATGTGGGTTCTGATATCATCATGCATACTAGAGGTGGGAAACTTATGTCTATGAAAAGAGAGAAGCTGTTTGGAAGTAACAGCCTTTGTCAACCAGACTCACTACCTAAGGTGTTTTGGGGCAAGTTACACTGAAGAGTTGCAAGTGGCAGCTTGTCCATCATTGTTGCCTCTAAGTGGCAAAGAAAGGTGCATTGGGAATGGAGCCCAGAAAGTGTCAGCTATTGGGCAGAATCGAAAATGAACGAATGTGTGGGGTGGGGACAATGTATTCCTCTCGTGTTTCCGTATCGAACTGTCCTCCACCTTTTCTTTTCTTTTCTTTTTATTAATTTTATTTTCTTAACATATACAAATACATAGAAGAAAATGTGGAATAGGAAAAAAACCTAATATAAACCGAACAGACTAAAGTGAACAAAATGGACAACGTTGCAAAGGGGATTTTAAACAAATGCAGCCCATGTATTGAAACCCCCAAAACTGACTTCCTATCATCCCATGCTCTATGAAAGTTTACAAAAAAGAAATCATTATTCTATACAACAGGTTTTCTAATCTAATCTAATTTCTAATCTAAATTCTACTGCTTTCCTTTTTCTTTTTCAAACTCCCCTGAACTTCCATTTGTCATGCTAAGCACAGTGCTAAGCACAATAAAATTTCCATTTGCCATGCTAAGCGCAATAAAATTTCCACTTGTCATTAAATTCTTCTAACAGTCTTTTTATTTATATACTTAGTTAGCTTTGCCATCACCACATATACTGCTAATCTATTTCTCCATTCTTCAATGGTTGGGGGGCTCTGGTGGTTTCCATTTAGAAGCTATTTTGATTCTTGCTGCCATTGTTATATACTTAAATAACTCTGACATGTTTTTTAAAAGGGTCTCTGGCATGATATTCAAAAGCATTTTCTTGGGACTCATAGGAAACTTAATTTTAAAGATTTTCTGCATGAAAAATTTTGCGATATTTCACAAGTCCACCACATAAGATAGAATGTTCCATCCATCCTGTTACATTTCCAACATTTTCCATTCTAATTCTCATCTATTTTCCAATATCTTTTGGAGTAGTGTACCACTGATAAAACATCTTATACCAATTTTCTCTTAATACTTGACTAGCAGTGAATCTGATATCTTTCTTCCAGAGAGCTTCCCACTGCCCAGGTGATATTTCTTCACCAAAATTCTGTTTCCAGATTGTCATGTGTTTCTTATCTTGGTGGCTCTCAGTATTGTAGTGCAATAACAGTTTGTAAAGTCTTCCTAATAGATGATCATTCTGCTGTATAATCAACTTTTCAAAATCTGTCAGATCTCTTAAGATGCCTTCTCCTGGTTGCATTTCTCCCTTCAGTCTTGAAATCAATTGATGATAAATAAACCACTGTATCTTTTCCCCTTCATCTTTCAGCCAAGATTTTACTCTTCCTAATTGGACGGAAGAGAAAGCATATGTGGAGGGAGGGCACATTCTGAACTCATTTCAGTTTATCTTTATCTCACCATCTCATTGTTATCAGAGCAGTAAAGTCTTCATGCCCACCTGTCAATTAGCAATCCAGAATGACCTCAGGAGGCAATTTATTACCTTCCTTAAGGAGATAAGGAAAGAAGTGGCATCAAACTGCTTCCCAGTCACCATTCCCCTGGAAGTCTGTCCTCCACCTTTTCAATACTTCCCCAAGTCCCTTGCTCTCTCAGATAAAGGAGGTATTAACACCCCTAGCTGCTTTTTGGAGGTAGGCTTATCAGGCAGCCATAAGTGTCCTCTTGCACCCATATTTGTTTCATTTATCTTTCATTTTTTTCCTTCAAGGGACCCTAGGCAGGTTACACAACATTCCTCTCCTTTTTATCTTACAAGGTAGGTTGGGCTGAGGGTCTGTTAGTGGTCCAAAGTTACCCAGTGAGTTTTATGGATAAGTGGGAACTGGAACTCAGCTATCCCAGGTTCCCAACATTTTTTCTCCAACACTTTAACCACTAACCATCATAATACTACACCACAGACACAATTGTGTGCTTTTCTGGGAACAAAAGGAAAAAATATAGCCGCAGCTGCAAAAGAAAAAAGAAGTTCCACACAAAAAGCAGCAGTGGCAAAGGAAAAGTGGTAGCAATTTGAACTGGGGGCAGCGCAAAGCTGGATTCTGCTATGAAGAAAGCAGGGATACTGTCTGGAGGAAGGAGCAGAGAACAAGCCACAGTGAGCCTGATCCACTGTAGCTTATTCTCAAGGTGTCTCAGCATGACAGGTAAACCTTCCCACTGTATGTGAGTCCTTTGTTTAGATTTGATTGTTTCTTTAGTTATTGCGTTTTTAATAGATGCACTAGGTGTTTTCTACAAGTCATTTTCAGCCGCTGAATAACCATTTTCTGCTAGATGGGAATTGTGCAAGCAGCCATTTGTGAAGGCCCCGTTTTGTGACTGACAAGGAGCCATGGGACAGCACTGCCTGTCTGACTGTGGTCCACCAGGGTGTTTCTGTCACAAACCCCGGACTGAGGGAAATTAGCTCTCTGGCACATGCATGGCCATCTCTGTCTAATTACTGCCTCTTAATTGGCATTTCAGCCTGGGAGGAAATGTGCCCAGCCCGAGACAGCATTCAATTTCCTGGAAAGAGACCAGTTTGTGTGCTCTCAGTGCAATTACAGGACAATTTAGTAGATAGCTAATAAATCAAACATCACACCCTCAATTAGCTTTTGGGTTTTTATTTTTATTTTTTGGTTTTAAAAAGTTGCAAGTCATCTTATGGGAGTTAGTGGCCAGAAGGAGAAAAAGTCCATGATGAAAGCTTTTTCTGTGATGGGGAGAAATAATTGTTTCTGCTGCTGAATTTTTGAGTAAGCCCCATTGAAGGGCAAGAGGCAGGATAAAAATATGTTTAAAGAAATAGAGTCCTCTGGAGCAGCACTTGGTTTGTGAGGATCTACTTGTTTCAATTTTCTTTGATTCCAAAGCTCAGCCAGGAACAGAGCTAAAATAGAATAATTCTTATTACTGTCTTATTTTTGTTGTAAACTGTCCAGAAAGCTTTGGCTGTGGGCTGTGTAGCAATGCAAGCTGAGAAACTGATCATGCCTATGCCTTGGCCTGATGGCCACAGATTAGTAGCATGCCTTGGCTCCTTCCTCTCAGCCTCAGTTCCTAATTTAAAGAAAAATCATAACATTGATGGCCTACACCTCAGGGATATTTTGGAGAATGAGTCCTGAAAGACAGCTTTCTACAGAGAAAGCTGTACATAGTCATGGTTTATTTGTTTTTATATTTATTTCAAAGACAGACCTCAGTGGAGAGATCATTCCACAATTTGGGGGCCACCACAGAGAGGGTCCTCACTTCCTTAGAGAGGGATAAACCATCTAGCACTCAGGCAGCAAGAAACAACCTGAGGGTGGATTCAGAACTGTACTGAAAAGGAGGAACAGAGGAATAGTTTGCAGCTTGGACAACTTCCTCCTCAACTTTGGTAGAAGGCTATTTAGAGTTCATACTGTTCTGTAATCTCTAATTACCTATAATTAAGTTGCACTTCCAAGGATTCTTCCTGAGTTTGAGAAGCAGAAGGGAAAGAGGGAAAGGATCAGCACAGAACAGGTTTGTCCTGTTTGCTCTTAATATTTTAATTAATATTAATATTCCTTTAATTGTATTGGTTCTTTTTGCTGTTTTAATATGAGATCTTCCCAAGTTGTCTTCTACTAAAGTGGAACATATAAAAGATGCAGAATAGCTAAACCATCAAGAACTCTGAGATTAGAGATGTGAGTTGTGAACTGCATGGTGAGGAACCTGACTGTGGATGTGTTACTCTTGACCAATATACTGAGCCTTAGCCTAGAATTTCCCAGGTTCATACTAAGAGGAAAGAAAGTATAGGGTAAATTTGAAAGTTTTGTAGTGTATCCTGGAATTGGAGTGACTGGTGGGGACCGGGGGTGGGGGAAACTTACTCTATGGATAGCTCAGATTTATTTATTTAAGCCAGTAATGTAACGTTTTTACATCTCCATTTTGTTTTAGGAGATCTTAAAGATGGGCTCCATTTAACACACTGGTGGTCCTGAAGAAGCAAGAACTGCTGTATTAGGGAAGTTACAATGGAGAACACTGCTGAAGAGACACCCGAGCTGCGGCTACGGTCTTGTGGCTTCCTCTACATCAGACGTGCCCACCAAAGCCACAGCATGCGGTGTTCAGGAGAGGAAAGGCCTGCCAAAGCTTATTAGGCCTACTTTTCTTACATATTCTTCTTGAACTTTGTTACATAATCCCTTTGCTAAAAGGAGGAACGATGACTTTTTATAGTTTCTGTTTGCTCCTCTTTGCATTTACTTGGAATACCTCTGCCTATGGACCTAATCAAAGGGCACAGAAGAAAGGAGACATTATTCTCGGAGGTCTGTTCCCCATTCATTTTGGAGTGGCTGCCAAACACCAGGATTTGAAATCTAGGCCAGAATCTGTTGAGTGCATAAGGTAAGTCCAAGTAAAAATGTGTAACATCCACTCATATCCAAAACTCAGTACCTGTTTTGTTAACCAGAACAAGTCATGGGTTTTTCATGGGTTACGAACTGTAGGTTGTTCGCCTCCCCATTGGCCAGGAGGGTCCCCCTGCCTTACTAGCCTCACCCTCCCTGTGCTCTGGAGAGCTCCGCTGCCTGCTCTCCTGCTGTCGTACAAGCAATATCCTGCGACCCACTTGCATTTTTGGGCCAGTGCTGCTCCTCAATGAGGCGGCCTCCTTTGCTCACTTTGACAGGATGCTCGGGCTTAGCTGCAGAGCCCCTGGTAGGGGGCTGGGGATGGAGCCATGGTGGGGTGTGGTAGAGACGCAGAGGTGGCACGGTGGCATTGGGCTGGAGTGCGGCAGCGTGGTGGCAGCTGGAGGAAAGGAGGTGCAACTGGGGAGAGCTGCCGCAGAGGTCGGGCGGGGTCAGTACTTCCTCGCTTTACTCACCTGGGTTCTTCCTTCAGCAGCAAGCAAGTCCTGGGGGCAGGCAGAATTGTGGTAGCCTGCTATGATTTGGCACAGGTGCCCTACATTCTTCCACTTTCGCATGTGAGCATCTGTAGGGGTGCTCAAGGCAGAACTGGGATTCTGTTGGTACATTGTGCATCTTGCCACTCAATGTTCTCCTTTCCTGAGCTAGCCAGCGTAGCCTTACGGGCAGTGAGGAAGTGCTGGGGGACTTCAGCATCTGCACCAGGACCACCCCTTCACGGCATCCATGGGTCTAGACAGTTGGTATCTGGCTCCACTCAGCAGGGCACGCACCAGACCTAGCTTTCTGTGCTGTGTGGGATGCTGCTGCCCTGCAGGAATTTTCTACAGGACGGATCACTACCTGGTGAAGTTTAGAGTTTCGGACATTGGAGGATCCTGCAGGGCATGGAAACGAATAAAAAAGATCTGCTTCCCCAGCCCTGTCCTACTTCATGTATCTGAATGGATTTCTGATGGCTCTTGAGGATTTTCCTTAGCGAGAGATTCTGGCCAAGCCCTGATTGTCCTCCAGAATGGGGAACTGGCTAAGGTGGCCATTAGCTCTAATATAAGCACTAGCCAGTACAAGAAAACTGCCAGCAATTCTTTGTAATGCCCAAACCTGCAGTGTGTGAACTGTCTTTTCCTTTGCAGTTAAGCACCTGAGGGGGTGGGTGGGTGTGTCTGCGTCCTGCAGCACTCAGCAGCGGCTTTGTCCACCCCTGTGGCCCTGAAAGACACGGGCCCTTGCAGCTGTGACCCTTTCCCCCAGCAGGTAGCCTGCTCCTGGTCTACAACACACTGTCCCATTCCCATTAAGGGCAAAAAGCAAGGGTTCCTCTGCAGGCCTTTTTTCAGTATCTGTATGTTCTGATCCATCTCCAGGAGTTTTCCGTGTGTTCTTTGTTGCTTCCTGTATTGTTTTTCAGTCGTCAGTCCACTAGAGTTTGCTGTGTGTATGTGTTCTGGCGAGTCTCACTGGTGCACATGAGAGGCTAACTGTTTTGTCGGGACTGACAGCTCAGAATTCGAGAATGAGATGTGTGCGAGGGAGGCTGCCTCTTCTGGTGGGACTGACAGCTCAGACTCTGCTAACGAGATGATTGCTGAAATGGACCCAGTTCCAGCTGTAGTCCGAGGCCCTGTGCAACCGCCTGTGCCTACTATGGGGGAGATTAGTGCAGGGGCAGTCGAGGGGACCAATAAACCCATCCATGGGAACAGGGAAGAGCAACAATGTCCTGGGGGGGGGGGGAGATTTTGAGATGGGAAGACTATCGGATGGGGAACTCCCTCCTCCTGGGAGGTTGGACCCAGCTGCCTGTCGTCACAGTCGTAGGGTGGCCCGACTGGGGTCCCTGAGGGGGGCGTGCAGGCATGCCCAGTTCCACAACACTCCTCCCCACAGGACAGATGCAGAAGGATTCATAAGGAAAGCTGTGGGTGAAGAATTCCAGAGTGGGTTCAACATTTCACTTTGTGTATGCTCAGAGAATTGCATGCAAAATAAAGATTTTTGGCAGAGAAGTGCTGGTGAGACTATTACAGCTGGGAGGGAGAAGCACGGCTCTCAACAGAGTTGCATCTTCCTGCACACCTTCTGCTGATAGAGGGCTGCAGTTTCTACTCTGGTGCTACCTGTGAGCAAGGCTTTCACTTGGGGCTGCTTAAGCAAACTGCACCTTTATGTTGTACACATCTACAAGAGGTATATTAAGTGGGTGCCTAAAATGTGGATGTAACAAGACCCAGGTATACAAATATATTCATTGGAAAGCTGTGCTTGGTTACATCTACCTGCCAGTAGTCATTTGGTGGCAAGCTCGAGTCTGCCTTTGCATCAGCAGGATCAGGGTCCGTATGCCTGTGAATAGCGGTCCCTGGGACGTAAGCCGTGAGGGAGACTGTCGCCTTTGTACCTGCCTGGTGCTCGAGGCCAAGGACTGACACTTATGGTGGGGTGGAGCAGAGGGGCTCCCCACCGCACAGGTTCTCCAGGGTGCAGAGGGCAAACCTGGTGAGCTCACCAGTGATGAGCTCCCTGGAGTGGGGCAATCCATGGCCACGAGAACTCCTCTGTTTACTGGCCTTCGGGTATCTCTGGGCTTTCCAGGGCAGGAAGTTCCTGGGCTGCTACCTGACTCTCCAGTTTGGAATTGCCTGTCCGACCCACTAGCCTCCATAGGCTGGGGCAGCGGGTGGGTTCCAGTCTGCAGAGCTGGCAGCTCTGTGAATCCTGGTGTATCTGCAATGCTGTGCTTGTGTACTTAATGTAAGCATTTCGAGGCAGTTGCTGAAAGCAGGGGAATTGAATTAGGTTTATTCATTTCATGGTAGGGCTGTGCAGCTTTTCAAAATTACTTTACAGAGTGATTTTCAAGATAAAAGCGTAATAGTAAAACAACTAAAATGGAAAAATCATGTAATAAAACACATTAGGATCAGTCAGCGAGCAGTTTCTCAAGCAGAATCCCCAACCCCTAGGCAAAAAGGAAATCTTCTATTACCCCTTGAAAAATGTCCAGTAATATAGGGGCATTTATAGAGAAGGGCAGTCAATTGTTGAATTAACTGTTGAGAAGGTCCAGCTGCCAGTGAATGACAGTCTTGTATCACTCCACAGTGAGCCCCTGAGTAAAACATCTTTGGCAGATCTCAAGGCATGACAGAGAGCTAGAGGAAGAAATGTTCCCTGAGATTCTTGGAAGATTTTGCAGATAAAGATGCATGCCTTGAATTGCACGCACGCATGCACACCGCACAACGTATTGGTAGGCAGGGTACTTGTGGAAAAACAGGTACAATATCCCAGTCAAAAGACAAGCAAGTTGCCAGATCATCTTCAAGGATAGAGTGCACTCTGTTTAATCTGGAAATGAGTGAGGCAAGGACGGTGGAAGCTTATGCATTCTAGTAGAAGGCTTACTGGACTAAACAGCTGATGCCAAAAAGGCACTGCAAGCAAAAGCTCCATGTGGGGGATTCCAAAATACTGCTCAAACCAGAAGTTATAAATCTACTTGAAGGAGAGCACAATCCCATCCAGAACAATCATTTCTCCACCCAACAAGTCCACAGAGTCATTGTGTCTGTTTCATCTAATTGAACTTAGGTTTATTCACTCTCATGGAGTCCCATTTAGCAGCCATTTAGGGACGTCGTCCAGGGATCAGGAGGCTGATGACACACCACTGAAGCTCATTTCTGGGTGATCTGACCCAACATTTTTTGTGTAGATATTACAAATCATGGGAGACAAAGCTAAACTCTGAAGAATATTATAGAGCAACTCTTACTGGATTTTGGAGTTGCTTCAGAACTCTGGCTGGCACAACTTTCTTTTGGAATCCATCTTCCATGGAGCCCAACAGTGCCCCCATCCTATTTCAGGGAGGTAGTCCAGAAAAATACTTTGAACATAGCAAAAACCATTGAAAGGTAGAGGAGAATTATTGGAGTCACATAAATTCAGGGATTGTCAAAAAGGACATTAGTCTACACTATGGTTCTTTTCTGTATAATGGCTTTATTTTGGGTTCTCACTACTTTTAAATGAGAAGACTTGTGTCTTTCAAAAACCCAAAAAACACCCTGGATTTTGGCCATGCCCCTTTATTTAATTCAGATTGCACCTTTTTATTATATCTTCCCCATCCCAATGCCAGATGTATTTGTTTTTAATTTCGGTCTTGTTTTGTAGGTATAATTTCCGTGGTTTCCGATGGCTTCAGGCAATGATCTTTGCCATTGAGGAGATTAATAACAGCCCAACGCTTCTTCCCAACATGACCCTCGGATACAGCATTTTTGACACCTGCAACACAGTTTCCAAAGCCTTGGAAGCTACACTGAGCTTTGTGGCCCAAAACAAGATAGACTCCTTGAATCTGGACGAGTTCTGCAATTGTTCAGAGCACATTCCATCCACAATTGCCGTGGTGGGAGCAACCGGCTCTGGGATCTCCACAGCAGTGGCCAATCTTCTGGGTCTCTTCTACATACCTCAGGTACGAACTATTCATGATGCTTCCGAGTGGTTAGAAATGGGTTTGTGCATGTAGAGGGGCACCGACACTAAAGGCCGTTCTGTTTATTAGAGAGCACTATTGCAGTATACAGGTAAAGCACATTTAACACTGGTGGGACACGTGCTAATGAATACAACGCAGCCTTCACTGTATTAGAACAGGGGTCCTCAAACTTTTTCAACAGGGGGCCAGTTGAAAGGTGCCAGTGGGGGGTGTGGGCCGGTGAGGGGGTGGGGTGTGTAGGTGCGTGCAGTGAGGGGGGGGGGGGGGGTGCGCGGGATGAGGCAGCAGCTTGCTTGCGTGGAGATCGTTTTCTCTGAGTGAGTCTAAAAAGATTGTCCAAAACGATCGCTTTCTCCGAACAAGTCCAAAACGATCTCTGCTCAAGCAAGCCAGCGCCCGGCACATGCACGGCGAGGCGCCAGTTTGCTTGCATGGAGATCATTTTCTCTGAGTGAGTCCAAAAAGATAATTTTCTCCGAGCGAGTCCAAAACGATCTCCCCACAAGCAAGCCACTGCCAGCTGTGCACCCGCACGCCCATGCGTTGGCAAGTCTGAAACCTCTGAGGTGGGCTGGATAAATGGGCATGGTGGGCTGGATCCAGCCCACAGGCCATAGTTTGAGGACCTGTGTATTAGAACCATGTTCCTGTATCACAGATGAATGCAGTTGTAGGAAGCGCTGGAGAAGGGACATGTACAGAGAAGCAGCCCTTTCAAGGGGGATGTCTTATCCTTTAGCTGCTGAAAAGTACAAAGGTGCAAACTCATGGTGAGTTAAAAAGAGAGCAGCGAAAAATCACAGCTCCTCCTGCCCCAGCACAAAAATTCATGGAGAAAGAAAAGGATACTTCCCCAAGATGAAACACCATTGATGATAATGTGCGTTACTTCTGAGTAGACATGTTGTTCCTTAGAAGGGAGCATTTATGCTGCAAGTCCGTAGGCAAGTCAAAGAGAGAAGGAAGTGACAGGGGCGGGGAGAGGGGGGCGGGGAGGCGGCGGAAGGCTGATGGGGCGCGTCTCCTTCTCAGAGTTACTGCTGTTTTTGTTGAAGCCTTGCAGGGCACCTCGTCCTGCGGCAGCAGTCTCCACCAGCCCGCAGAGCCGTTATTCCTTCCCCCAGAACGGTTCCACAAGCTTAGCACACATTCGAATATATACCTCAGAAAAATGCAGGACATACGAAAAGTCGCAACAGAGCTTGTCTGAAGAAATCCGGAATATAACGGCAGTAATAGCACAGGGAGGGTGGTTTGGGATGAGCATTACAGGACACACCTGTGGGTCAGGAATTACAACGCTGGTAAAAATGCCTAGCATAGAACCCTTGGAAGAGTAGGTCTACCCTAGAAGGGTAGGCAGGGCACAACTTGATTTCAGAGCGCGCGCGCGCGCGCGCGCGCGCGCGCTCTCTCTCTCTCTCTCTCTCTCTCTCTCTCTCTCTCTCTCTCATTTAACCATTTAATGCTTGGATTTGTGGATTTCAAAATTCTCTCCTAGGTATATCCCTCATTAATAATGACCTGGGTTCAAAATCCCAGTCAGCCCTGAAGCTAACCTTGGGCCATTCACTACCTTTTAACCAAGCCTCCCCTCAGCTTGGTGCGCGCCAGATATTTTGGACTACAATTCTCATTTTAGACATAGCTGAGCAGAGTTACATACTATCACATGTGGAGGGTGCTGGGATTGGGGAAATCTGTTGTAGCCAACCTACTTTACAGGGTTATTGTAAGGATAAAATGGGCAGAGACATAGAGTTTGCTTTGCAATTCTGGGAAGAAAGGCAGGATATACATTTAATTAGTTAAAAAGTAATTAAAATCCTAGTATCTTGGTCACCTCTTTTAAATGTAACATTCATGGTTAAAGCATGTGCTTTGTCACATATGTTCATCATTTTACATCTATACATCATTTATGGTCTGCCCAACCCCTGCCTGTGTTGCCAACTTATACAGGGCTTCTGCAGGGTTCAGCCATGTCCCCAGACCTTTTACATTCAAGTGAGCCACTGGAGGAGAACATGGAAGATCTGAAAGATTTCTGCCATCAGCTGATAACATGCAGCTTTATCTCCCCTCTCTTTCATAATTCACCAACTGTTGATTGGAAGTAATAACGAGCCAGTGGGATATGGGTGAACAAACCAAAATTTAATCCAAATAGGACAGAAGTACTCTGGGCAGGCCTGTAGGTTAGGGATTGAGATTCCTCTTTTGGATGAGGAAGCGCTTTCCATGAAAAATCAGTCTCAGGTGTTGCTGAAAATGGCATTTCATCTAGACCAGGGATATAAAGTGGGCAGTACCGCCCTCCTGTGGACAGTGAAAAGATCCAATGGGGTGGTGAGGAAAAAGGGGGCAACAGGAGGGCATTAGGAGATTATAGGTAGTTCTCAGGTTATGAACAGTCCATACTTACAAACACAGGGACTGCCATAAACCCTATATGAATATATCTGTAAAAAGCTGTGGATATCTCTAGGGAACTACACGATGCATTTGGTAATGCATCATCAGTGGCTGTGTAGTTCCCTAGAGATATCTAGTTAGAGAGATTCATGGCTTTTCTCTAGAGGTAGCCATGACTATCTCTAGAGAATCTCTGTCTCTAGAGCTACATGACTACAAACTATAATTGAGGCCTTCTTCAAGAAAGCAACTCCAGTGGTAAACCACTCCCCCAAGCAGCACAATCAGACTCTGACTCTTCAGCACTGGGTCCACCTCCGTCATCACCAGTTAATGTTACCTCAAGAATGTTCTAAACTCTTTGAATAACTTTCTTTCTTTCTTTCTTTCTTTCTTTCTTTCTTTCTTTCTTTCTTTCTTTCAATACTGTATACTTACACACATACCCATATACATACAGATTCTCTCTCTCGCTCTCTCTCACTTCAGTACCTGTAGTTGCTTTATTATTTCTGTATTATTATCATTATGGGAATGCTACATTGTGTTTAAGAGGTTTTAGTGAATATGAAGTGTTTCTTAAGTGTTTTATATTCATAGAAAGGTAAAATATATACATATACTAAGACAAACATTTGGCTTACTCATGTGATCCAACTTACATACAACTTCGACTTAAGGACATTCTTAGTCCCTTGGTTATGGATGAGTTCCATTCCTACCTGTATAGATCACTACAAAAGAAGCAAAAAGAACAAAAAGGCAAACAGCAGCCTGCCTTCCCCCTCACCCACAGCCCTGCAAGCAGCGTGCCCCTCCTGATGCCCTGGGGAGAATGGGGGTGAGGGACCGGGGGCATGGGGGGCATAGAGAGGGGGAGAGAGAGAGAGAGAGGGAGAGAGAGAGGCCAGTCAAGCAAGGAGTGTTGATTAATTCACTGAAGGTAAGACAACCCTGGCATCTCACATACAGAGAGAGACATGGGGGCAGTAGGGTTGTCACCCAAGAGGAAAGGGGGTGGCAGCCCAAAAAGGTTTGGGTACCACTGACCTGGAGTCTCAGGTGGCTGCGATGACCAAGTGCTTTGTGCAATTCAAGCTGGTGTGTGAGATGAGCCTGCTTCTGGAAAAGACAATTTATGGCTGCCTCCGAGAAGCATCTGCCAGGGTTTTAACTGAGGTGAGTTTTGGAGCAGATGGCTCCTTGTCGTAGAAACTTCACTGGGTCCTGGTTCATTTCTGGTCCAAGGTGCTGGCCAGCCACCATCTGAGGCACAGCAGGTAGAGCAAGGGAAGGGCCATGCTCTGTGGCAGCACCCGGAATGTGGAACTCATTGCCACAAGAGATGCAGGAAACCCTCGAATGATCTTCTGTTGCCTTTTTGTCTGTGTGGGCCTCTGGCCTTGCCAGTTTAATTTTTCTTCATCTCTCCCTAGCATTTCAGTCTTTTCAGTGTTGTCTGTGATGGTTTTGTTTTATTATGATTTTACTGTATATTTTCCTTTATATGTTGTATAACAAACACCACGCCAGATCAGACCAAAGGTCCATCTAGTCCAGCACTCTGTACACACAGTGGCAAACCAGCTGCCCACAGGATCCCTCAAGCAGGATGGGGGCAAAGTTTCCACCTGCCCAGGCTCTGCGGCAACTGGTGCTGCCAGGCCACCTCTTTTAAAGGAGTTGTAGCCACTAACAGATTAAGATTATAATTATTTTAATTTATTGTTGTAAGCCGCCCCGAGGCTTCGGCGAATGGGGCGGCATAAAAATGTTTTAATAAATAAATAAATAAACAGCCTTCTCGCTCATGAATCTGTTCAATCGCCTTTTAAAGTGATCCAAGTTGGTGGTCATGACCACTTCCCCTGGCAGCACATTTCATGGTTTAACTATAGCTTGTGTGAGGGTGAAGAGATACACCCTCTCCTTAGTACTTAGATTCTCAGGGTTCCCTGGACAGAACCCACTGCCCCAACTTTTCCATCCATTCCTGCACTTCTGAGTGATCAAGAAAATAGAAAAGTTAAGGGCACCCCTTTGTACTGGCACCGGAAGTTTGAAAGCTAGTTTTTAGAGGGAAGGCACCCCAATTTTTTCACAAGGACATAAGCAATAATGAATGCAAACCCAGTTGCAAGCAGTCCATCCAAGGTATCCCAGTGGTACTTTTTAATTTCTCTTTCCTTATTTTATTTTATTTAAGGCTTTTATTGACCGTGCATCTACTGGCATCTCGGGACGGATTTGTATTCTTTCTTCCAAAAATGGTTTAACATCTTCAAAATACCACTCTAATGGAGTGGTATTCAATGGAGCTCTGACTTTGACATCTGTTGAAATACATACTCGTTTATTTTGGATTTCTGCTAGCTTGCAAAACTAATGTGGCCCTTGGGACACCTGAATTCCCCTCCTCCCCACACAAAAATAGTGATGGCTATTGGCCATGCTGCTTAAGGTTGGTGGGAACTAGTGTCCAAAATATCTGGAGGCCATCAGCTGGGGAAAACTGTCTTAAAGCAACAGTGTTACTGATGTTAGATCTATAAAGAGCAATGAAACAAAAACAAACAGAATTGCTTGCTTTTCAATTTTTTGTATCTTTTCCATTTTCATTTGAAAAAAATCTCCCCAAAAAGCCTCTGCCCAGAAAAGTTTACATTCCTAAAGATATCACTGATTTTAAGGTAACTGAGATTAGGCAAAATGTGTCCGCTGCCTCCCAGAAAAATATAAAATAATGGAGAAAAAATAGCCCTAATGGATAGAGAACCTGAACAGAAGCACTTAGTGCTGCAAGATTTTGTTGCAGATCTTGGTTGTGTGTGTGTTTCCCTAAAGTTATTTCATAATTTCATTTAAACCATCATAGTATGTTGGACCATGGGTGGTTAAGATGCTCCAGCCTCTCTGGGGATCAGTACGTGGTGAGGATGCTCCTAAATCCGGTGTAACGCCGCTGCCTGCACAAGCCAAGCTGGCCCGACATCAGTGTGAGACGCCCCCTGCAGCCACTGCCACTGCACTGCCCAGGGGCGCCCCCATTCTGCATCGCTTTGTCTACTCTGGTGTTTTAGGGGTAGGGCCTGGCCACAGGCCATCCCATCCTGAATTTTGTGCCTTTCCGCATTGTTATCCTGCCTTTCTTCTAAAGAGCTCTTGGACTGTACTCTGCACCCTCTGTCAGGCATCGGAGCTTCATGCTGATGGAGCAGAGTGTGTTTGTGGAGGGGGGGTTGCATAAATGGGGTGCATTTAAGGAGAAGTACTTTGGCCAGCTTTGGGTGCTGCATTTGGAAAGGATACTGTCCAGTGGAGTGCAGTCGGACAGGTGAGGGATCTGGAAACCAGCTCCTGTGAAAAGCACCGGAGAGAGCAGCGGGGTCCCCTTGCACAAGGAAGACTTCGTGTGCATACATCACCCCCTTTCTCTCATTAGTTGAATGCACGGTGGATAGAAGTGTGACAGCTGCTGTCAGCAGGCAGGGCAGCCCCTCACCCATGTTTAGTAGCTGAGGGGACCCGTTTGGATTGGAACCACTGCGCAGGGAGAAGGGTGAACCCTCACCACTCTAGCACTTTGCTTACCCACTAACAAGCTTCCAGTGCTCTGATCCTGCTGCCTGATTTACATTTGTCTTAAGAGAACAGTTGATAAAGGGGATTTCTTGACTCACATCTCATTCTTTAAACCCAACTGGTACTCTGAGCCCAAGTTTTAACTGCTTACTGCATATTCCTGTTTTGTTTCCCCTTTCCTAAGGTGACAAAGGATATAGCAGGGCCCCTATATCTTTAAGAGCGTCGTAGAGAAGGGAATTCCAGCTAGTGAGCTATGTTGTGTAGGAGGCAGGAAGCCTCATCTGGTGAATTTCCCTCTTCTGCACAACTAATAAAGGTACAGCAATCTGTCCTTCCTTGCATCTTGTCTCCATGTCTTCTTTACAAACATTAAAGGACAGAGGACCTTTAGGTCAGGATGCAGCCTAGTTGTAGGCCCACACACCATGCCATCTGTTTCTCTCATCTTCTAAAAGTAATTATAATTTGCCCTCTCAGTGTCCTACTTCTTGATTGTTGCACATGCTCCACACCTCTGACATCTGCTCTCCTTTATTTGTCTGTCCGGCCTCACATGCTTTTCACAGAAGCACCACTATAACTGCTGTTACAACTGATAAGGTATTGGTTTCATCGCTTGCTATTTCTGCCAAGAGTGAAAGGAGAGAAGAACTTGGTTATATTTTATGAAAGCAGGAGAGAAGAAATGTGGTGTTTCTATCCTTACTTCCATTATCTCACACTTCCAACTCAGTCTCAGGGCACTGCTTTGGCAGGTGGTGAGCTGCCCTTTGCTAGAAATGTTGAGGCCGGCACTGGATCTGTAGTGCTGTCAGTCCACTTGGCTTTGCACATCACGCATGGAGCGAGGGGGTGGGCCAGAGAACCTCTAAGGCTTCTTCAAGCTCTGTGATTGCAGAGGAAAGCAAAAGATAATAACATCGGACTTCAAAAAGATCGTGTTTAATGATTTATTTCCTTCATATCGGAGGAGAATTACAAGATGGGTAAGAGCAAAGAAACTATTGCAGAATTGTTTTTGCTGGCGTTTCCTTAACACTGCATTACTGCTTGTTCACTCTCCCCTCTCACAGGTTAGTTATGCTTCATCTAGCCGGCTCCTGAGCAACAGGAATGAGTATAAATCTTTCCTGCGTACCATACCTAACGATGAGCACCAGGCCACCGCCATGGCTGACATAGTTGAGTACTTCCGCTGGAATTGGGTGGGGACCATTGCGGCAGATGACAATTATGGGCGACCAGGAATTGAAAAGTTCAGGGAAGAGACAGAGGAGAGAAACATCTGCATTGACTTCAGTGAGCTCATCGCCCAGTACTTGCCGGAGGACCAGATCCAACAGGTGGTGAAAGTCATCCAGAATTCCACCGCTAAGGTGATTGTTGTCTTCTCCAGTGGCCCAGACCTGGAACCCCTCATCAAAGAGATAGTGACGCGGAACATCACTGGACGGATTTGGCTGGCGAGTGAAGCATGGGCCAGCTCTTCACTGATAGCTATGCCCCAGTTCTTTCATGTCATGGGTGGAACCATTGGATTTGCTTTGAAGGCAGGACAAATCCATGGCTTTCGACGCTTTCTGCAGAAGGTGCATCCTAAGAAGTCGGCTAACAATGGATTTATCAAAGAGTTTTGGGAGGAGACTTTTAACTGTTACCTGCCAGATAATAACAAGAATTACCCAGGCTCTACTTCTTTCCAGAAAGGCCATGAAGAAGTCACAAGAGCTGGCAATGGCACCACTGCCTTCCGTCCCCCATGTACTGGGGAGGAAAACATCACCAGTGTGGAAACTCCCTACATGGATTATACCCACCTGCGGATATCTTACAATGTGTACCTGGCAGTATACTCAATTGCTCATGCTTTGCAGGATATATACACTTGTACTCCTGGGAAAGGGCTGTTTGCAAATGGATCCTGTGCAGATATCAAGAAGGTCGAGGCATGGCAGGTAATTTCTTTTTGTTTTCTGCTGAAGCACATGTCTGTGTGATGATTTTGCCCAACAGAGTGCAAGCAAATTGAACAGGATTGCTTGATGATGAAACACACATGATCTTCAGTGCTTTTAACAAGCGTATATCTAGGGCAAGAATGGGTGAACGTTCCCCACTAGATTAAGAAGCTCACACCATATAGACCATCTTGCAGCCTCCAGGTTGGATCTCATGGATCATATTGGTATGGAAGAAGGATTTTCCCTTGGCTAAAACAAAGGGAGCCAAATCCTTTAGTTCTCATTTTAAGTCAGTTCTTCGAAGTAATTTCCAATCCAGGATAAAAGCTGAGAGCAGAAAGCCTACTTTCTCTATTTCTGGCTGAGGGGCTGAGGCTTGTGAGAGAAGGTGGGCTTCTCCAGCCTCTGCAGGACCTTTCTGGGCCAGGCGGGAACCCTCGGTGGGCCAGAGTGGGCCCACTGGCCAAAGGTTCCCCATCCTTGCCCATTTCATATAAAAACTGCTGTGCTGAATGTGATGTATGAGCATGCAGCTCTCTCTGAAGGCCAAACTAGATGTGACATGGGATGTTCCTGATGAGGTCTCCCATATTGTGTGTGTGTGTGTGTGTGTGTGTGTGTGTGTGTGTGTGTGTGTGGTGGAGAGAGTCCCTTCCTCCATATGCTTCCTGACCTGAAGCTGTTCATAGCTCATAGGAGGAAAAGACATGTATACACAGTTGTTCTGTGTGTTGTTAACCCCCACTGTGCTTGGGTGATTTGGAGCAAGGGTAAAACCAGGAGTGGAAGCTTTGGGGCCTCTGGAGGCCACTTACAACCCCCTGGAGCCTCCATCTCCAGGGGCATTCCCCCCCCCCCCCCGCACCACCACCACAGACCCACCTGTGCACTTATTCAGACACAAGCACACACCCCTACTCCCCCCAGTCCTAATGACATCCTCAAATCCTCTTCCTTCTCGCAGCCATCCTTCTCCACTTGGCTGCGATTTAGTGGGGCAGCTTGTATTCAAGGTTGCTGTGAGGTGGAAGAGAGAAGGAATCTTCAGCATCACTCTCTTCCTGGTGATTCTGCTGGGAAATGGGCAAGCAAAGGGACTTTCTTCAGACCCTAGTTAACAAGCAGGAAGCCTGCATGAAGTTGCTAGGGAGCCCCCCTGGCCTGCCAGTGTTTCAGCAGAAAAAGGCTCCTGCAAAACAGCTGGCTGGTACGCAGGATGGCTCTCCAAACAGCTGGCTGGTGGGCAGGCAGGAGCCTGAGGCAGCGGCTACACAAGAGGGTGCGGAAGAGGCTTCTCTCCATACGAAGGGGCAGAGAACCTGATGGACTCCAAGCTGGTTAAAATGCTCTTGTGGGGTGTTGCTGCCCTTCTTTTCAAAGCAGCCATGTGGATCCTAATTAGTAAAAAAAAAAGTGGGAGGGGGGAAGGCCTTGGAGGCGTGACAGATCAGATGTGACCTTAATACAAATGAGACCTAAGTGCTCTTGATCAGGAAGACCATTAAGCCAGCGATGGCTTTTCCGCAGGCTTGAGTTTGGATTTCACTTCTAAGAAAGGTTTTTTTGCTCTCTGGGAATCTTCCAGGCCCTGCTTTGCTGTTGGATTCTCAATCAGGATACTGCAGTGTGCTCTGTCATGGGTCTGCCTTTCAAAACAGCATGGTTACAGGCTTAGTTTGGTGTGTTGTGTGCAACCCGGACATTAAATCAGCATTTATGCAGTCAATAACATGGCGCACACCTTTGTGAGACTCCCCCTTTTCACACCACCACACACAGTCTGGGTTTTGGTGACAGCCTGGCAAAATATTTACTAGGGATTCAGGAAAAAATACAGGACAGGAAAAGGGCTGGTCAGTTTCAGACCAGCAATAAGCAGTGGTTGCGAGTAGCTATTCAGTGGCAAATGACAAATAAACAGAGGATACCGTCTAGCTAGCACAGCCCTGCATCAGCTGTCTTTCTGGTTCTTTGAAGACCCACAGCCAACATGGTGAAGTTCTCTTCAGTTGTGTCAATTCTACCCCTTTCTTCAGGAAAAGCTTCACCCCAACCCTGTGCCAAAGTCTAAAACTCTTGTGCAATCACACCACCAAGGCCCCATCCTCCAACTCTGCATTCACACTCCGCATGGGCTTTTCCCCCCTCCCAGCTGAGGGTGTCTGAGGGATGGAGAAGGAAGCAAGAGAGGCCTCGGGATAACTTGTCCAATTGCCTTCCTTGCCCACTTGCCAAAATGCCCCCTTCTCCCCTCCCTGCAGTCAAATGCCCAACCTCAGGGAACAGCCAGCTCAGTGTTTTCCACACCAGCTTGTGAGCAGGGGCTGGAGCGCCAGTTATTTATTTATTTATTATTTAAAACATTTATATGCCACCTATTGCTCCATAGCATCTCTAGGTGGTTCACAATCCAATTAAAAACCATTATAAAAACTAATTATACAACTAAAACCCCCTAAAATCCATAAACCACTTCAGTTAAAATGCAGAAGGGTTCATGGCATCAGTTATTAAAATGTTTTTTTTAAGGTAGGTTTTCACCTGCTGCCAAAAGGAATATAAAGAGGGCACCAGGCGAATCTCCTTGGGGAGAGCGTTCTAAATATGGGGAGCAGCTTCAGAAAAGACCTTCTTCCTAGCAGGATTTGCCTACTTCGAGGGTGGAGCACCACCTCTGCCCTAAGATTTGGGAATGCTGACTATCCTTTCACCCCTCCGACTCTTTGTACAGGCTGTAGGATTGCTGCCTAAGCAGTTGCACTATTTTGTGGACTTATTTTTGAAGCTTGTGCACCATCCACCCTCATCTGGTTTGCATGGCACAAGTACTCCATCCTGTTGTGCTGGTACAATATAGATATAGACGTAGAACAGTAGAGTTGGAAGGGGCCAAGAAGGCCATCAGGTCCAAGCCCCTGCTGTTGCAGGACACCAGTTGACACCATTCCACTCAGACGACTGTTCAATTTCTTTTTGAATGTGTGGGCGAGCACATGGCTTATCTAGCCAAGTGGCTGCACTGTCATATTGCTCTGACAGTTGGGAAATTTTTCCTGGTACGAATCTGGGTTGTTGCAACTTGAGTTGATTGTTCTGTGTCCTACACCCTGGTATCAGCAAGAAAAAATCTTGATCTTCATCTTTGTGACAGCCTTTGAGGTATTTATAGACTGTCCCCTCCTCGGTCTTCTCTTCTCAAGGCTGAACATGCCCAGTTCTGCCTCTTCTTTTAATCTTGCTGTCCAGAACTGGACACAGTATTCTAGATGAGGAATATAGGAGAACTATTACTTCTCATGATTTGGAAGCAATACTTCTGTTAATGCATCCCAAATATCTCCCTCAATATTCTGTGGCATCCCAATATTCCCAATTTGAGACTTTTTGTGCTGGCAGTTTCTGTGCACAATGAAGACATGAGTGTTCCAGTCGACCAGCTTAACTCTTACTGGTAGGAGGGGCTTTAAAACTGTAGAACCTGTTCTGCAACATTTTTCTCCATCTTTTTTTCGTTCCCTGCTCTTTTCCTAACACTGACTTTCATAGTATTTGTGGACAGGCAAAACACACAACCAAAAAATGCACTATGACTTCTTCACCTTCTCTCCTTCCCCCACATCCCCTGCCATTCTCCTCTCCCCTTTTCTGTATGTTTTTAATTGCTGCTATTTTTGACTATACACCTGTGGAGCTGCACAGTTATGAATAACCATGCAATTTATTTTTAAACCTCAATTCCTGGGCAACATCAAAGGTGTGCATTCAGTTAGGAGACCAAAGAGCTGCATTGGCTGCGAAAAATCTTTCCTGGACTGGACCTCAGGGAATGCTTGCCTGGAGACACATCCACACACACGGTCCATTCACCTATTATCACACACAAAGTCCATCCATACACATACATGCATATATCCACACTCATCCGCACTCTTCCCTTACGGTATGTAAGCTTTTAATGGAAGGATTTCCAAACCCTAATTGGGGGGAGGTGTTAATTAGTTTTTACAGGAACAAACAGTATATTGGGAAATTGCAAAATACAGATGATGCCATCAGCCACTCCTTTTGTCTTGACAGCTGTCACTTATGCATCCCCAGTCACTGATCATTTCAGCCTGGAGTAGAACTAATTTTTGCATAGAAACCACCTTCCTCACCTGACTGAGACTGAGACCGGGGGAGTGTGTCTCAACTGCTTTCAGTATAATTGACCATAGCACCTTCCTGAAGAGGCTCTCTGGGTTGGGACACACAACCTTTCGGTCTCAAGGGGCTTTGTACCACACATGCATACGCACATGGATACACACACTTCCCCCTCCTCCCCTACATCTTTCCCAGACTAGCAGCCTAGACAATTTTGATTTCTCTTTAAGGAAACGACCGAATTTTTTTTTTCTTGGCAGAATCACATGGAATTTGTAGCCATAACTTTTTCTTCTGAAATAATCAATCAATTTCAGGATGATAATTGCATGTGTCTTTGTGTAAGAGCAGGCTTTATGTCTTGGGTAACTTCCAGATAAGAGATAGTTCTCTCTCCCTGTTTCTTGTTCTGAAAATAGCAGACATCCTAGATGTAGCCTAAGTAACAAATCTACAAAATTTCATGGTAGGAGTAGCAATTCATACAGAAAAGTACTCCTAAATTGGAGGGAGGAGTTTAAGTCCCTTCCCCGTGGTTTCTGGGACAATTTCTATGAAAGAAACCTGCGAAGTGTTAGAAGGACAGGTGCAACAGCTAGGAAGCTATTATGACAGAAAACCAATTTAAGGCTTTTTTTCCCCATAATGAAACAGCCTATGTGGCACTGGTGGCCATCCCACAGTCACATATTTGTCCTCCCACAAAGTACATTGAAGAGTCCTGGGCCCAGGACTGAACCCTGTGGTACCCCCAGTTTGAGAAGTGCCATTGATGAGCTCTCTTTGAGTCCATTTCTGTAGCCGATTTTGAATCCACGTGGTAGTTGTTCCACCAAGCCCACTTCATC